CAAATTAGTGTGTAAGTTTCTCAAAAATTAAAAATAGAACCACCATATGATCAAGCTATATAATAACACTGGCTCTCTAACTAAAAGAATCAGAAAATATCTGTGTTACAAACACTCATGTTTCCATGTTTATTAAGGCAGTGTGTCCACAGCAGTCACTTCCTGGGTACCCAACAACAGATGTTATCAATACATACATACACACCATCTATAGTCAAGTTTTGTTAAGACACAGAGTCCATTATGTCATTTGCAAGAAAATGGATGGAATAGCAGATTAGTGTATTAAGCAAATGAGCAAGACTAAAAAATAAATCAAACAAGCATCATGTTTTCTCTTTAAGATATAAATGTAAAAGGTAGGCTCAAATGAGTATGGAAAGATAACACAGAGTAGATAAGAGACGCAGGTGGGGTGAATATTACCAAAGTACATTATGAAAGTATGAAGTATGAAAATGTCTGTAAACCAAAGAACTTCTACAGGTAACATACACTAAAAGCAAAACAAAATAAAACATTAAAAAAACCATACTCTTTGCCTAACTCCTTTTCACTTTCTATTCTAGTTTCCAACAGAAAACCTTCATTTTTAATTCATGCTCTCTATCTAAATTATATGGAAATTATTCCCCCAGATACCAGTTTCCTTGATAACCTTGATATGTATTTATTTTCTGTCCTAATGTATTTATTTATTTTTGTGTACATGTAGCATGTGATTCACGAAGAGAGTTTAGAGGCATCATCATTGTTCTGAACTTTCATTAGTGAAATGAAATTTCCTCTTATCGATCTTCAAAGACATTTTCCTTTTCTGTTGTAAAATCATGGATTACTCATTCTTATAAAGTAGACTATTAAACCTATCAGTTATTTTTTTCAATATATAACACAATCTATCATCTCTGGGTTAAACATAGAAGAGTAGGGTTTAATTTCTTTTTTTTCTATTTTCTTTTTTATTATTATTTATTTTATTTTTTTATTTTACATGTCAATCCCAGTTCCCCCTCCCTCCCTCCCTCCCTCCCTCTTACCTTCTCTGCCCACTTACAACCCTCCCCTCCCCTCCCCCACCCCAATTCCATATGTAGGGCAATGCCATGTAAATCTGTCAGGTCAGTTGAAGTAGGGACTAGGGCTTCTCTCCTGTCTCTAAGTTAAGGGAGTATCCCTCCATGGGGGATGTGCCTGCAAGGTCATTTTGTGCACCAGGGATACATCCTGGCTCCACTGTCTGAGGTCCCTTAGGCTGTTCAGTCCTTCTGGCTGAGACCCATATTCAGGGGGGCCTGAGTCAGTCCCATGCTGGCATCCCAGCTATCAGCCTGGTGGTCCGTTAGCTCCTCCTTGTTCAGGTAAGCTGTCTATATGTGTTTCTGCCGCCTGGTCTTGTCCTCTCCATCTGCATCTGATTTCTACTTTGACTCAGTGTTTATGTATGGGTGTTTGCTCCTGTTTCCCACAGGCATTAGTTGAGGGCTCCATGATGGTGGATTAGTTAGTTGTTGATCTCACTCTCTGGGAAGGGCATTTATGGTAGCCTTTCCACAGTTGCTAAAATTGTTAGTTGGCAGTAGTCATGTAGGTCTCTAGACCTTTCTTTAAATTCAGTTTTCTCTTCAAACCAGTAATGGCTCCCTCATTCAGGATGGTTTCAAGTGTCATCCACTTGCCTGCGAATTTCAAGATACCATTATTTTTTTCTACAGAGTAGTATTCCATTGTGTAGATGTGCCATATCTTCTTTATCCATTCTTTAGTTAAGGGGCATCTAGGTTGCTTCCAGGTTCTTGCTATTATAAATAATGCTGCTATGAACATAGTTGAGCACATGTCTTTTCTGCATGGATGTGGATCATTTGCGTATATGCTTAAGAGGGGGATTGCTGGGTCCTATGGTAAACTATTTCCCATTTTCCTAAGGAACCACCATACTGATCTCCAAAATGGCTGTACAAGTTTGCACTCCCACCAGCAGTGGAGGAGTGTTCCCCTTTCTCCACATTCTCTCCAGCATAAGTTGTCATTGGAGTTTCTAATTTTAGCCATTTTTGCAGGAGTAAGATGGTATCTCAAAGTTGTTTTGATTTGTATTTCCCTGATAGCTAAGGATGTACAGCACTTTAAGTGTCTTTCAGCCTTTTTGATTTCCTCTATTGAGAATTCTTTCTTCAGTTCTGTACACCATTTTTTAATAGGGTTATTTGGTGTTTTGTTGACTAGTTTCTTGAGTTCTTTGTATAATTTGGAGATCAGCCCTTTGTTGGATATAGGATTGGTGAAAATCTTTTCCCAGTCTGTGGGCTGCTGTTTGGTCTTGTCCACTGTGTCCTTTGCCTTACAGAAGCTCCTAAGTTTGAAGAGGTCCCATTTATTAATTGTTGATCTCAGTGTCTGTGCTCCTGGAGTTCCTCTATTTCATATTCCTTACACTCTATCCTCTTGAACTAGGTATCTCACCCAAGTATAATACTTTAGGGAATCCTACTTGATATACTTTAGCCAATAAAAAAATAACTTTAATCTTTTTTGTTTTATTTTCATTTTTATTATTTTTTAAATTTTATCTTAATGAAACCTATACATTACTGTATATTGAAAAAAATTCTTTTTGCTTATAGAGAATAGTATTTCACCTTTATTTCAATTAGTTTTAAGAAAAAAATACCTCATCTAATAAAATTGAGAGGTACCTATGGTTTAAAAGAATGAGATGAAGGACTCGTAAAAACAATATGGTGAGAACCTGATACCTCTATCTTCCATCTTTTATAATTTCTTTTTTATATTTTATTTTGTTATGACAGAACTTTGTTTTCATAGTCCCAAGATAGCATTTCTTGGGATGTGTATTCCTTCTTTCATATTCATATTTAAGCAGAATTTGTGTCTCAGTATTTCAAATAAAGTCAGAGCTGAAAACCATGAGCTCTGATAGGCTTGAATTATGCATTATATGAAGTAATAACTGTGGTCAGATAAAAATAAAATGGTGATATTAAGCCAGCTTACTCAAACTATGTGATGGGAATGTATGCAGTGCAGCTTTTGGAAGAGGGAGTGAGAAATGCTTGCTGAGCAAGCAGCCAAAATTTTTGGCAAAAAAATAATAAGCAGATCATTGGTACCTGCTGAAAAGACAGTACATTTCATTGAACAAGTTTTTCTTTTGGTGATAAGAACAAAATTACTTGGAAAAGTAAACTAGTAATAATAAGTGCAACTCTACCTAGGTTTCAAATTCTTTATGTTCTGGAACAATCTACTGGTGCTTGTATAAAGAAGCACCAAGAATACTAAAGATGTCTTATTGACTGTTACCACTTCTTCTTTTTCCCACTCTTTCCTATGGAGCACAGTATAAAAAAGAAGAACATTAGATACTTTGAGAAGTGACTCATCACTTAGCATAGGAATAAAAATTAAGTCTAGTTAAAAAAATAATAAATGTCTGTTAAAAATGACAAGATGACTAATACTGCACTACTTACAAAAGAATATTAAACCCCAGTCAATATATAAGTTCTTGGGTCCTACCATGATGACATCTACTTATTGCATTTTGGAGCTATTTCCAAAGTTGTTCCTCTAGAAAACTAAGTTACAATAATTGACATCTATCCTACATGATAATTATCTTCTTTCATATGTACCTGAAATGATGGCAGTAAATATGTAAATTATTGGGAGAACTGAAGATGTTATTCAAATAATTAAGAGACTATTTCATTATCGTTTAAAGATTTACTTTTATTAATTTTTTCACTTTACGTATGTTTGTATCTGTTTGTAGACATGTGCACATGAGTTTAAGTGCCCACAGGGGCCAGAAGACTTTGATCCACCGGTTAAAGGTTGTTATGAGTTATCTAACACTGGTGTTGAGAATCAAATTCAGGTTCTTTAAAAGGGCAGAATGTACCCTTGACTGTTTATCCATTCCTACAGTCCTCAAATAATTTGAGGATCTGATCTGATATTATTAGAAAATAGTAACCTATAATCTTGGTTATTAATGTAGAATGTCACAATGATTTTATTTTAAAACCTCAGAATGTTTTCTATAATGGGTATAATAGCATTGTAAGATGTGAATACAAAAAGAAACCTTCAAATTTGGCACTGCTAAAAACCATTCACTAATATTTTTTTATATTAACCACAATTTAAATTTGCTATGTGTGACCAACCCATTTTATTTTCAACCAGATATGCCTTATGGATTGTAAGTGTTAAATTATATGTTTGATAGTGTTATCTTCCAAAAAGCTAATATATACACATATGTAATTCTTAAGTACATTAAGCCAAATTCACCTGATGAATTAGTTTTCTTTTTTCATTTTATTTCTTATGCACAGAACGGATTGCAATGTATTTTTTTGTTTCTATCCATGTTCTAAATTATTGTTATAAAATGATTTATATTTAAGTAGTTTAATTTTAAATTTAACTTTCTTTGCTTTTCATGATTAAAAAATGTAATAAATATCCTTAGGTGCTTGCTTCTAAAGATTAATGATCATTCAAGTTGCAGATTGAACTCTCAGTTTTTGAAGTGAAGGGAAACAAAATGAGATGTAAGCTCAGGAAAATGCAAAGCCATTACAGATTATCAGTTTGATTAAACTTTCTAGGTATTAAGACACAATATAATCCTCCTAAGATACTATCTTAATTAATCTAGGCAATTTATTTAAAGGTTCAATAAAACTGCAAAACAAACAAAAACCAAAAAACTCCAGACCTCTTGAACAACAAATTTCTTGAAAGTCATATGATGAAAGTTCACTGCTACAAATGATAGAATTTTAATGACTGCAGAAGAATTTAGGCACAAAAGATACTATTAAATTCCTTGATGTGATATGTTCAATAACCCTAAAGATCTTTCACAATAAAATAACTCATCTCCTATGTATTACAGCCTACCTCCAAATAAAGGACGTATGATATATATTTGCAAAATTATCATTCAAAACTCATTTTCTTACCCGTTTATCTGCACTGCCTGTTCCATGATGGGAATAACTGATGATACCAGGTATGGGCTGTCCATGTGCCATGAAAACAGCAGGACTGGTGTAGAATGGATGCTTCTAATGTATAACATATAACAATTATGAATACAATGAAGGCAAAGCATGAAATTACAATATAAGCAAAATGATTAAAAGAAAAAAAGTGAACACAAATGGAACAATGAAATATCAAATTTTTCTAAATTCCAAGTGACAAAATCAGCTTTGATTTTGTATGTTGTATTTTCCTTTACAATCAAAATTGATGTTTTAAAGGAACATCAATTAATGTTTCTTAATTAAAAGGTAAACCCTTTTAATTAAGGGTGGAAAAGAAAAAACATACAATGATTTTTAAAATGAACATACTTTATTGATTCCAATAAAAAATAAAAGTTAGTACTTAATAGTATGGTTAGGATTTAATGGATTATTGAATGGTGTACAGACAGAATATGGAAGTGTGTAATAAGGAACTATGTACTGATTAGCTAATGGACCTGAAAAGTACTTCTATATGATTCTGTTTATTTTCAAATAAGGAATTCAGAACTAAGCCATATGAAAAGTCTTTATAGACTTGAAAACTGCCATTGGTAGCATTTACTACATATCTATAAAGTAGTGTCAAGAAGATATATAAGGCTGAAAAAGATGATTTGATTACATGTTTTCAGACATTGACTTTGTCAAAGTTCCCTCAGCAATATAATTCTTGGTTATTGTTCAGAACAATTGAAGAACTGTATTTCCCTAAATGGTAGCAAAATAGTAATAAGGTAATCATTGTCTTACATTGTTAATTAATCAAAAGACAAATATTTTTTTAAAAATTAAAAAAGATTTTCCTATGGTTATTATTCAGACCACTCATGGTACCATATCTATTTCTAGATCCATCTGAAGAAAATCTGTAAACTTTGGTATTGTCCCAACATTTAAATTACTTTATTAAATTAAAAATATATTAATTTCTTCTTTATACCTTTAAGATAAATTGTGTTAACAATAATAAAATAAATATTTAGCTGAGGAAAATTCAAATGCTTCCTAAAAGACTTGTCTTTAAAATTTTTTGAGTGGTAATGTGATCCTTTTTTCCCTGGGTTCCATATACCTTTACTCCAGGCAAAAAATTTTAAGTTACTATTTTCCAACTAATTTCAAGAGTCATCTGAGGTCTTTTTAGCTTTTGTTTTCTGTTCATTTAAAAACATGTTTTGATGTTCTAAATAATTATGATGTTCATAATAATTTTAAATGTAATAAAAATGAAGACTTTAAAGAGTTCTTAAATATCACATTATTTATCACTACAGCTAAAACTTCATTAGGCCATTGGTATATCATCACCTAATCACAAACTAACTTCAATGCTTACAAACAATATGTACCAGGACAGAGAACACAGTGACAGAATTTAATGGAATTTCCAGTTCAATTTCAAGATGCTATCAAGAAGTACTAAACTTATAAAAGGATGACATGGAAAGAAGGATGAAATTGGTAATTTCCCCATGGGTGTTTTAGAACTCTGTCTCTAGGCAGACTTACCTTTGCAGCAATAGCTGCTGCAGTTATGTGTGACGAGGAACTATCTTCTGTTGAAGCTACACCACTGTCTTTTTTTTCTTCTTCCTCTTCTTCACATTGAACCCCTTTGTCTTCTGTCTGTTTATGGGGGCTAGTTGTAGGAGGTGGAGAAAGAGGAGGTGGTGGCGAAGGTAAATCTTCAAGTTCATCATGCACCTCCTTTACTTTTACAATGGCATCACGTAAAAGGTCAATGGCATGAGGTAGAGCTGGCAGTATGAACTGAAAGCATTCCTGCCCACAATGACAAAAAAGAAATAAAAGTTAGTCTTTTTAATAGACATATAAAATGGTGGCAGTCAAATTGATTCTAATTTTGAACTTGTATTTCCTGCCATTTAAAGAATGAGTCATATTTGATACATCTTTTTAATGTGAAATATGAAACAATCACAGCATATGGTATTTTCCATATGTTAGAGATTATGATCCTTAGATGAATGCACACACTATGCTTTTAAAGTACAATTTTGGTATTTGGACTTATTTATGCCATACATAGAAAGGATACAAAAGGCAATAGTTTTCAAAATGTTTGTTAGTGCAAGACTTGAATAGACAAAAACCACATTAAAGACCAGGTATTTGTTGCTGCTGTTCAGATTGGAAATTCTATTACCATAAAGTATGCCAGTATAATCATCACAAAACCACTAAGCAATAAGTAAAAATAGAAATACAATTGTAAAAAGTTGTGAATAGAAGTCAATATTTTCTTCACATGCCATTATTGTATATAATTCATCATCAAAAGACAACAGGTAAGGACTTATAAGCAGATAATTATGCCTGAGGAATAGATGAAAGTCTTTCTCTTTCATATTAAAAAATACCTTAATAAAGTTGAAGAGGTGAAGAAATATATATAAAAATTCAGCAGCATTAATCGCATACCTAGAAGAATGCTAATCTTTGACTCTTTGTAGGGCTCAACTGTTTATTGTTTAAACAGTATATTAAAGAATGTAATCTTGATGAAAGAGAGGTTTGATGTTTTCCTTTGACTTCTGGGAGATTATAAGCACACATTAGGATGTTATGCTTGATAAAAATGTCTTAATTTGCTAGGATCTTGACTACTAGATACCCTGAAAACTATGGATATCAAAGGCTTAGGTTGGCATTCTTCACTGGCAATGTTCTTCATATATATATTGCTATGTGTCAAGGACAGGATGGTAACATGTGCATGGTCCCAAATGAGAGAAGACAATGAAACCTTTTTGTTTGGTAGGTGTCTCTTACGTTGTGCCCTATGCACTTTTTCCTACTTAATTTTAATCCATATCACCTTCCTTTATAAATAATAACTATAATACCTTTCAGTGAATTACTATGTAGTTTCAAAAATTAATTTAAGTTGTCACTAGTGAAGCTCATCTTTTCGAATGCTCCAAGTTAGCAGGTGGCTGAAGAAGATGAAAACAAGTAATTCATATGTTTGGACTACATGATGTTCCTAGGGCCTTTGTCAGCAGAACCTATACCTCTATGCTGTATCTCAGCTATACTTAAATATTTATTTTTCTAACTCAGGGGCAGTGTTCAATGTCAAATAGCTACATGTTCAGGAAAAAAGTTATGAAAAACTATCTATTGAATATATATAGATGCATGGGGCATAATGAAATCATTCTGGGAATTTAAGGGTGTATATTAAAGTAAAATATGTCAATGTTCATTCAAAGAACTTCCTCCCAGGATTAAAAATTGACTGGAGTCACATTCATTTGGATGCTTAAGTTGGCTACATGGGTCCAAGAGGTAAGTGCACACTAGGTAACTACAGCAAAGCAAGATGGGCCGAGTAAAGAATTATTCATCTTGTAGCCTCTGAGGCATAAAATGTCAACAATAATTGTTCTATCTCCCAACAACTAAGACAGAAACCACAGAAAGCCATGGGAAATATTCTGAAGAGGGAAAATTCTACATATAACTGACAAATTAAAACTGATGCTGGTAACTCCTAAAGATATAAAGAAGCTTTAGCATTATCATCCTTGGAGAATGAAATGGGTACTTCAAGCTTGTCTTCACACAAGGAGAAAAAGTATGAAGGGCTCTTACATGCTTTCATGAATGTCTTATAACATTCAATATGGGCAGGCAGATGAATAAGGAAGGTTCCTACTAGTTGGGTTTCTTCACTTTTCAGGAAAGGGACACTTGGACAAAGACTTATAATTTTTTTTTTCTTACAAATGTACCCTTTCCCTTATGACACCTAACTTTTTTTTTTTTCTCATTCACACATAGTGGCCACACAGCAGTATACAACTGTGTGCCAAAATAGGGGACAATTTTCAAGCAAGAAGATACTAACTATACCTTTAATTTTTTTGTTTGTTAGAATTTCTGATGTTTCCTTTTTCCCTTACCACATCTGGGTAAATTAGATTTGACAGTGAATGATACTATATTGCCTAATTGGAAAGACAGTCCACTAGCTCTGTATCTATGTAACCATATCATATGAATAGGAATGGAGTGAATGGGAGACTCTATGAGGCTCTTAACCTATGACCTGTAAGCATTATACAGTTGAGGATAGCTACATAAGTAGCTAAGTACAAAGTCAAAAGAACCTAGAAACTTTTTTAAAAAGTAATTGTGTAGTTCTTGAACATGAATTTTGTAGATGACAATGTCCTGTTGCAAAATAAAAGGTTATCCCAATACTACTGATGGAAATATGAATCAGCATAGTAATTGGACTTTATACATCTCCAAAAATGGAAGAGGGTCAAAACAAGATAGGTAATGATTCATAATACAAGTATAATGAATGACAAACTTTTATTTATTTATGGTTTTCTGACACAGGGTTTCTCTGTGTAGCTTTGGAACATGTACAGGAACTCACTCTGCAGTTTAGGCTGGTCTTGAACTCACAGAGATCCACTTGCCTCTGCCTCCCAAGTGCTGGGATTAAAGGCATGTGCCAACACTGCCTGAATGCCTGACTTTATTTTAATCCACTATCTTTGGATTTTATTTTTTTCAGTTGTACTATTTCTACATTTAGATATGTTGTAATATTGACATTGTTATTACTAAAGTAGTAGTGATATTGTTGGCCAAATATATTTGGAAAGTGAATTAAAGCCTTCTTAAAGTGTAATACAGAGAGAAAATGATTGATTATTCAGCAAATGACTGGAAATTGTTTCAGCTAATTTCTGTTATACAGTACTGCATGAATGTATCATATACTACAAAGAACAATAGATCAAATTACAACTGAAATATGAAAATGTACATAGTGTCTTTGAAGAGTAGATTACTTGTTTCTCTAAATCTGACTAATTTCATGTTGTTGCTTGAAAGGAGATGTTCTTCTGTATATATGTTTGACTTACTGGTTGATGAATAAAACACTGATTTGCCAGTGAGGAAGTAATGTACCATGGAAAATACTACCACTAGCTAACCACTGAGGCCTCGAGGTCTGTACAGACAGGCAGGAATTGATTTAGCTGGGCAGAATCACAATATAAGCAGGGACAAACAGGAAATCTTTGTTTTCTCTGCAGAGATGTAGCAGGCAAAGGAGATGCAGGTCCAGCATTCCCAGTAAGCAAAGATCACATGGAAACACTTAGATTAATAGAAATGGGTTAATATTTAAGATATCTAGCCAATAAGAAATGCTAGTGATAGGCCAACAGGTTTATATCTAATCCAGTGTCTCTGTGTGTTATGTGGGGCTGACATGGCTGTGGGACCAGGCTGGCGGGAAAGTACTTATAATAGCTGCTTGCAAATGAGAGATATTCTCACTGGTAATACTGCTGTGTTAAGTGATATAAGTGTTAAAGTGAACATAATTCTTTGAGTAATGTTAACTGTTTGATTAGCTAAAGGCAAAACATACCATACCATGTGTAGTACAGAATTAATTATCACACAAAAAGAGTTGCCTTTAGTTACCAGATGGGGAATTTCTAGGATACTACCCTGCCATGACTGAGAGTGTTCTTGTTTGTCAGAAGGCTTTGGCAACCAGATAACCTAACAATGTGAATTACAAATACATGTTTGGACTTACTTTGGTTTTGATTTACCTCTGAAAGATATTGGAGACTAAAGGGATACAAACTAAAATTCAACCATTTGGACAGTGTATAATGAGCTAGAATGAACAAACAGAAACACAACAAACCTAACAGTTCAGATGAGATTCTCTGATTGGCAATGTTCTAAGTAGATTGTCACGATGCCAGGAGAATAACAAACTCATGAGTACACAGAGAGAGGAAAATGGAAGCTCTGCGTCTGGTATGTTTACTGAACTATGATGTAATTCTCTTGGCTCACTTTAATCCATGTTCTTTCCTTTGATAAACAATAACTGTAAACACATAAAATGTTAGTGACTTCTGATACTTCCTAATGAATTGTGGAATTTGAGTGTACTTTTTGGGAATTTCTAGAAATTTGGATCAGTGATAGCAGTGAGAAGCTTTGGTGTGTTCAGTGTGTCGACAGATTACTCTCACAGTTTGTTAAAATTCCATTTATTAAACCATATAATATAAAGAATACTTACCTGAGATCCTTTCTTGCTACCAGGCAAGTTGATTATCAGAGTCTTCCCTCTTATTCCACACACTGGTCTGAAAAGAGGAAGTGAATTAAATAACAAATTCCAACAAATATTCAATGAAGGCTAATCATACTGTTTTATATGAGAACATCTATTATAGGAATAAAATGTTACAGTAAGAGATCATCAATTTTTATACAAATTGCACATTCTGACTGATGTTTTTATAATAGTGATTAATTCAGAGGACTAGAAAAATGGACTGAAAATGGAATCAGAATAAACTAGCTTTTTAAAAGTAAGCTGAGCCTTATACAACTGCCTTTTTGTTTAACTTTAGCTTTTACAAATTCTAAGGGTTCAAGGACATAGCACCTTAATATGTCTAATATAGTAATAGTGATGTCCAAAAGTCTAAATTAGAAAGCATTCAAGAGTTGAGTGGGGGTTAGATTTGTGTTTTAAACTTTTTAACAATGTAGACATTAAAGTAAACAGGGATTTACACAAATGAATTGCTGAGGGGGAAAGGCAAGAGAGCTTAGTCATGGAAAGAATCATTGATAGTTACAAGTGTTTAATATAGAAAGGCCTTTGAAAGATCCATGTCAATTTCATTTTAAGGTATTTATTTTTTATATTATAATTTAATGATAATTCTTCTCCCTTCCTTCTAGTCCTTCCTGAAGACATCTCTCCTGACTGCTTTTCAAATTCATGTTCCCAGTTTTCACTAGTCAACTTCAATTCCATGTTTAAATCAGTTAGCTAGAAACAAAACATAAAAGTAGCAGGCACTAGAAAAATTGAGTCAAGAATGGAGTTATTTTTTCCTTTTAAAAGCGTTCTTTGAAATTTCATTCTTTGAAAATTTCATACATGTACAGAATATGTGTTATTATATGAATTAGAATTCTGCTATCTCACTAACTGGCTGAATTTTTGATGTATTCACATTTCATATTTTTGAAAAAGAAATTATGCTATTAAAAACAAATGTTTCTGTGATGGAGTTTATTCAATGACACTGATTTTTTAAAATATAATCTACAACTGTCTTATAATCTGAATGGGAAAATTAGTATTTAGATAGAATTTACTTAAAGCCTTCTATATATTTGAAAATATTTAATAATCATCCTTTAGCTATCTTAATTTTAGAATTCATTCTTTTATTAACACTGTATTTTCTAAACTTTGTATCAGTTCTTTGAGATTTCTTACAATGTACTTAGATCATAATACATCCCAATACTTCCAAAATTCATTTCCTCACCCAACTTGGTGTCTTTTTAAAAACCAAACAAAACAAAACTCTTCACGAATCTAATTTTGGATGTGTGGTCTTCCACACATATACAACTTATTAGGTTAGATAAACTTAAGAGGAAAAAAGAAATTCTTCCTTAAGACCCCAGTGCTGCTGGGTGAGGTGGCAAGCATCTTTAATTCTAGCAGTGGGAGGCAAAGGCAAAGGAATATCTTTTTGAGTTCAAGGTGGGCCTGGCCTCAAAAGTACAAAATGAAAGCAATCCATCCCTAAGTGAGGGCATGAGTAAAAGACTTTATAGAAGAAACAGACTTGAGTGGTTTTTAATGAAGGAATTTTTTCAACTGATAAAAAGGGTTTGGGGAAGAGGCAAGAAAATATAAATGTTTGTGGAAAATAAGAAGCAACACAGGACATTGTTAAGCTAGATAAATCAGTATTTTTCAATGCGTGGTCTCTGGACCAGCATTTTATATGTAATTTGAGTACTTAGAAATGCAAACTCTCCCGGTTCTCTTCCCTTTTTCACTGATTTTAGAAATGATGGGGATTGGATGGAGTAGTTTGAATATTTATAAGAGAGTTAATTGATTTGGATTTTTTGAGAATAGTTGTAGTAGTGTTTGAATTTTATACTATTTATTCTAATTATAATGTTTTCTAAATTAAGTTACTAAAAGGGACAACATAATTTTTGATTTATAATACATGAAGAACTTAGTTGGAAAAAATAGGCACCAAATAAGTACTTGGCCCATCTTTTCTCAAAAGGTAAAATGAGATTTGATAGTAGAAGTCACACAATCACTATACAGGACTAGAATGCATTCTTAAGGCATCAGGGACCAATGATGGATTATGCATAGCATTACCAAGCACTACCATTTAAAGAATAATATTTTAAAATGAAATTAATGTCATCTCTGCAGCCACTCTTGAGAGATCACTGACTCAGATCTGACAATGGGGAACCTGAATAAGACCAATCTAGACAATGTTGTGACTGGGGCAATATATGAGTCCACTGGCAGTGGGTCCAAGATCTAACACTAATGCACAAACTGACTTAGTGGAGCCCATTCTATATGTAAAGGAACCTTGCCCAGCCTACACTGGGGCATGGGGGTGGAGAGCTGCCTTGGTCCTGTCTCAACTAGATGATGTGACAGTCTTAGTAGACTTCCTATAGGAGGCCTTGAACTCTCCATGGAGCAGATGGGAAGAGGGGGAGAGTAGAGGGTTTGAGAGGAAAAGAGAGAGGGGGAACTGGGATTGGAATGTAAAAAACTAATAAAATGAACAAAAAAAAAAAACAACAACAAAATGAACTTAAAGTAGGTTTATAATACACATAAAACTCCATATATTAGAATTTATTAGACAAAAATTATTGACTTTTTTGTTCACTTTCTGATGTTTATTTTCTAGCATCTAATCAGTATCATTTATTTTCCCTCCAGATATTCAACTTCAATTTCTATCGTTTTCACTGTCTTAAAGTTGACAGAGGATGATTTTTTTTTTTATTATAGTGTTATAGCAATTAGATTGGTCTGACAAGTAACAACTAACAGTTATTTATTTTTGTTTCTTGGCATGAACATTACTGACATTCTCTCTTTATGACCCCCTGCCTGCATGTGTTTGTGTTTGTGTGTGCAAGTGTACTTGCATACAGGTCAGATGACTGTTGTGGAATATTATTTTAAGACGTATTACATTTGTTTATATTGTGGAATATTTGTTTTAATGATGCAAAGATATGTTGCATTCTTTTATGTTGCATTTATTTATCTCTTTGAAGCTGTGTTACTTTGCCTGTCTAAAACACCTGATTGGTCTAATGAACTGTTGAATGGCCAATAGGTAGGCAGGAAAAAGGATAGGTGGGGCTGGTAAGCAGAGAGAAGAAATGAGGAGAAATCTGGGAAGAGAGCTCCAGGAGAGAGAGGAAGAAGACTCCAGGGGCCAGCCACCCAGCTACACAACAAGTCACGGAGTAAGAAGTTAAAGATATACAGAAACAGAGAAGGCAAAAGATAGATGGGATAATTTAAGAAAAGTGGACTAGAAATAAGCCAATCTTTCGCTGGACATTTATAAGTATTCATAAGCCTCTGTTTGTGATTTATTTGGGAGCTGAGTAGCAGGCCCCCAAAAGAGCAAGAGAAAAAAGAGTTAAACCCAACCACAGATGACAACCTCAAGTGTCACTCACTTCTCAGGCAACTTCCATATTTTGTTTGAGACATGGTAAGTAGTTTAAGCTGGCAGGCCAGCAAGCTCCAGGGACTGCCTGTCTCCGTTTTCCATCTTATGATTTCTGGCATACAAGTTTTTTGCCACCAAACTCAGATTATCTACAAAATTTCTGAGGTTCTAAAACCAACATCTGATGCTTTTCAGGCAATACTTTAGTGACTGAATTATATCCCTACCCTTTATATTTTTTTTTTATATCATACCAACAATAGCCTTATGGGGCAGATTATTGGCATACTTTCTACTTATAGATAAGAGAATTTTGTGGTTATTTAACCAAAGAAAAGTCAAACACAGATGGGATTACTGAACTCCCACCCTTACCACTACTCTAGAGTTTGCTGCACACAAGGCAAAAATACCCACCATTAAGCGACATTCCAATTCCACAGCTGAGACTTACACTTTTAAAAACTAGGTTATGGAAAAGAAAGAATGTAAGATATAATAATATTGGCTTGTGGGAAATCAATTGTTCTAGAAATACTCTTGATATGTATGTTTGTGTGGTATATATGCCTATGTACCTGTGTGTTTATAAGAGTCTGGGTGCATGTAGTGACATTTTGTCTAATAAATCTTGCCTGAATATCAGTGTGCAAAGCTAGACACACTAGTTAGCCATAGAGGATGCATAGTGGTGGCACACACCTTTAATCCCAGCACTTGGGAGACTGAGGCAGATTGATCTCTGTTAGTTCAAGGTTACCCTGAGCAACACAAAAATTGATTCAGTCTAAAAGAGAAACAGAACCCACACAAAGGTGTTATCAGCACTTGGGATCCCATCACTAGAGAGGAATATAAGGTGGGAGGAAACAGGAGTTCACTGAAGTCTGAGTATTCAGTCTGAGCATCAGTCTGAGGATTCATGGAGACAGGATGACTAATTTGGTCTGAGGTAGAGGTAAAAGCTAGTGGCTGGTTGCTTTGCTTCTCTGATCTTTCAGATTCCTCACCAATTCTAATATCTGATTCTGAGTTTTTCTTATTAAGACCAAACAGAATTCATTCTACAGGTGTATGTGTGTACAGTTGAATGTGGAGGCCAAATGTTAAAGTCACATCACTTGATTTTTTTCTATTTTACTTATTGATAGTTTCATAAGCTATATGCTTCTAATACACATGCATGTATAGGTATGATTAAATACACACATACACATATATTTATCTCTTCATAACATGTACAAAGACATGTCAGTGTGTATGTGTGCAACTCGGGATTACAGTATAACTATTTCTTACTACTATGTACACCTTAGAATTTCAAAATCTGATATATATCATTGCTTTCTGACCATAACAGTCACGATCTTCTTCAGATCAGCCTTGACTACTCTCAAGAGACCCTCAGGATTGAGCCTGGTGACTGTTTTGATATTCTCTTAGAGGAGGAGGGGTGGAAAGAGTCATTAGATCATTATCTGATAACAATCACTGCCCCTATACCTCTTAGTTATTTGTCTATTGATACTGACCCAACTGTAAGTGACCATGGGGTCTTGGAAAGTGCTAGAGTATACAGAATGTAGAAG